TACTGATAAAAAGAGGAAAGAACATTACTTGTTGTGGCCTAAACCCTTGGTTCAATGAACGTGTGTTTCCTTGGTTGACCATAATTTGAAATGTCAATTTTATTGAATGGAGGGGAATGGTTAAGACTCAGTTTTCTCTACAAAGATAAATGGAGAGGAAAATGTAGCTTTTAGAAGTAGTTGAAATATAAATCTTTTTAGTATTGGATTCATGCTGAATTTTGTTGTGGTTCTTTATGTTATTTATTTGATTTGGGTCCTTGGATTTGTGAACGAAAATGAAAAGGAAAAGAAAATGAAGGGGAAGAAACTAAATGCCCTTTTTTTGTGGTTTGGTTGAGTTAGTAAAATGAGAAAGAAATGAATAGTTTTAATGTAATTCTTTGAGTGAATTGAGGTTGAGGGGTTGTAAAGGATTGACAAATGCAACCATAGTTTTGATGTTTAAAAGTTATGAGCATTTGGAGATTGTTGATATAATGCATTGTTGTGGCATTGAGGCTAAGGCTGTTGAGTTATTTCTTCAGAATTGTCGACAATTGAGGCAGGTATAGGTTAAGGAAAGCAAGCTTTTGGATGCTGCCAGGTCGTGGGCTTCAAATAAGTTCATTGAGGTGGTTCTGTTTGATTGATGATTTGGCAGTGGGAGAACAGAGAAGCAAATGGTTAATTTGAAATGTCAATTTTATTGAATGGAGGGGAATGGTTAAGACTCAGTTTTCTCTACAAAGATAAATGGAGAGGAAAATGTAGCTTTTAGAAGTAGTTGAAATATAACTCTTTTTAGTATTGGATTCATGCTGAATTTTGTTGTGGGCACTTGAGCCTACTCCTCTCTCACAAGTATTGAAGTAGTGAAGCAAGAAGACACTCTGTAAACTATTTCTTCTATTTTTGCACTAAAGCCCCTCTCATATGTCTCACACTTAAGCCCTTCATGTATGCCAGTATTGAAGCTATTATCCAAGAAAGCACCCTATGCACAACCGACTATTCGTCCACATAGTGAAGGCGCCTCTTGTATAAGAACTTTTTCTTATTGTTTAAACCAACTCTACCCTTTCCGTCTAGAACACCCATTTTAGAAAAATCGCAGGTTAAAACCCCTCTCCACAAAACAAAACAAAAAAGAAGATAATTAATGTAACTATTTTTTTTGTGAGAAAAAAAAAAAGAGGAAAAATTAATAATAATTTTTTAATTTTCAAAATTAATAGAAAACATTACCTTGTTTAGTATGGAGTTTTCGATAATTAATTTTTAATTTTTAATCTATATTTTTTTAGTGAACATTTTTTAATATTATAATTTTTTTTCTTTTTAAATCCCTTTAATTTAGATAAGGGCAAATTGCAACAGTTGTCCCAGTACTTTGGTCTGTGTGTCATATAAATGGTATGTTCCATATCTATATCTATCTATCTATATCTATATCTATCTATCTATCTATCTATCTATCTATCTATCTATATCTACATCTATATCTATCTATCTATCTATATCTATATCTATCTATCTATCTATCTATCTATCTATCTATCTATATCTATACTATATATTAAGCAAAATGGGATTTTTAGCCCCAAGCTTTGTGGGAGCTCCAATCTCCCAATCTAAATTTTCTGATTTTTTGATTTAAAAAAATAATAATCTTAGCATTTATTAACTTCTCCCGACTCCCAAGTCTTACCCTCATAATAACACTTTAATGCATTAAGAACAAACATAAAAAAAAAATTTGAAATCCAACACATATGAATTCCTTTAAAAGTCCCAACACATATGATTATTATCCCTCATAATAACACTTTAATGCATTAAGAACAAGCATAAAAAAAAATTCTTGAAAAGTCCAACACATATGATTATTATCAAAATATTAAAGTTTAATATAATACAATAAAAAAAAGACATTTAATTCCTTGAAAAGTCCAACACATATGATTATTATTAAAATATTAAACTTTAATATAATATAAAAAAGGAAAAAAAAAGACGTTTAAAAAAAAAGAAAATATTTAAAAATCACAATTCACATATATAGATAATTGTAAACACAATCCGTGCATAACACGGGTGATATGCTAGTATTATATAAGAAAAATGGGGTTTTTAACTTACAAGCCTTGTGGGAGCTCCAATATCTCAATCTTAATTTTCTAAGAAAATAGAGTTTTTAACTTACAAGCCTTGTGGGAGCTCCAATACCACAATCTTAATTTTCTAAATTTTTGATTTAAATATAAAAAAAAATTCAGCATTTATTGACTTCTCCCATACCTACTCCTACACTTTTTTCAACTTCTCCCATACACTATGGCTAGTGATGGGATTGTTAAATTATTTTTATAAAAAAAATAATTTGTATATTAAAAAAACTAGCATATCACCCGTGCTATGCACGGGTTGTGTTTCACCACTTTGTCTTTTTTTTTTTTTCTTTTTTTATACTATATTAAAATTTTATATTTTGATACTAATCATATGTGTTGGACTTTTCAAGAAATTTTTTTCATGCTTGTTCTTAATGTATTAAAATGTTATTATGAGGGATAATAATCATGTGTTGGATTTTTCAAGGAATTCATATGTACTTCACAATTATTTTTATATATGTGAATTGTGATTTTTAAATATTTTTTTTTAATGTCTTTTTTTTATATTATATTAAAGTGTAATATTTTGATAATAATTATATGTGTTGGACTTTCAAGAAATTCATATGTGTTGGACTTTTCAAGGAATTTTTTTTTTTATGATTGTTCTTAATGTATTAAAGTGTTATTATGAGGGATAATAATCGTGTGTGTTGGGACTTTTCAAGGAATTTATATGTGTTAGACTTTTTAAAGATTTTTTTTTATACTTGGGGGTTGGGAGAAGTTAATAAATGCTAAATTTTTTTTTTTAAAATAAAAAATCAAGAAATTTAGATTGGGATATTGGAGCTCCCACAAAACTTGGGAGGTTAGAAACCCCCTTTTTCTTAATATATATTGATAGATAGATAGATATATCTTTTTATTTTTATTTTTGTGTGGTTTCTATTCGGGTATTTTTTTTTTCAATTTATTTAAGATGATATCTTTTTGAGATTTATAGCTAAATTCTTATTTTTTTATTTTTTTTTTTTTTTGTGTGTAACCATAGTATATGGGAGAAATTGAAAAGGGTGTTGCAATAATTATGAGAGAAGTCAAAAGGGATTGTGGGTTTGGATATGTCAATAAATGCTGAGGTTGGGTTGGGAGAAATCAATAAATGCTGAGGTTTTTTTTTTTTAAATCAAAAAATTAGAAAATTAGGATTAGGAGATTGGAGCTCCCACAAGCCTTAGGGTTAAAAACCTCCTTTTGCTTAATATATAGTATAGATATCTAAAACAAACATAAATTCTTATTAAATCTATCTATCTATCTATCTATCTATCTATAAGGAAAAAATGGTTTTTAACTCACATGTCTTGTGGGAATTCCAATATCCCAATCTTAATTTTCTAAATTTTTGATTTAAAAAAAAAAAATCTCTGCATTTATTGACTTCTCCCAACTCACAAGCCTTTTTGACTTCTTTCATACCTACTTCTACACCCTTTTCAATTTCTCTCATACGCTATGGTTATTGATGGGATTGTTAAATTATTGTTATGAAAAAAAATTAAAAAATAATTTGTATATTAAAAAAATATCTAAAACAAATATAAATTCTTATTGAATCTATCCCCCAAGCTTTGTGAGAGCTTTAATATCCCAATCTTAATTTTTAAAATTTTTGATTTAAAAAAAAAACTCAGCATTTATTAATTTAGTCAAAATCCCCTGATCAACATTTATTAATTTTTTCCAATCCATATGCCTACATTTATTGATTTAGTCAAAATCCCATAATCAGTATTTATTAACTTTTTTCAATCCACATACCTTTTGAGAGCTTTGGCCAAAATCCCCTCATACAAATAAGGACTTGGGGTCACTGTTGTGGCCAACCCACAGCAGTGTTGGCCACAGCAGTGACTGTTGTGCTTCATTTTGTGATGTATTATGAGATTATTATTATGATCTGAACCGTTCATTTTGTAGGGTTTGTTGAGTACTTCAAGCCTACCAAAAATCATATTAATCGGATACCAATAACTATATGATTGATAACCAAAAAAACAAACAAAAAGTTTTTCTATTGAAAAATAGTATAAAAATATGCAATTCGATCATATAGTTGTTGATATCCGATTAATATGATTTTTGGTAGGCTTGAAGTACTCAACAAACCCTACAAAATGAACGGTTCAGATCATAAAAATAATCCCATAATATATCACAAAATGAAGCACAACAGTCACTGCTGTGTGTTGACCACAACAGTGACCCCAATTCCTACAAATAATTATAGATATAATCCGTGCATAATTACTACAACACTCTTTTCAATTTCTTTCATACACTATGGTTAGTGATAAGATTGTCAAATTATTTTTATAAAAAATCTAAAAAAAATAATTTTTATATTATAAAAAATCTAAAATAAATATAAATATCTATAATTATCTCGTACATAGCACGAGTAATAGGCTAGTATATATATATAAATGTATGTTTGAAATTTTCAATTTAATCATTAAATTCATTGTCAAGTTAGGGCTCTCTAATATTTTTTAGAAGAGTAGAATTTGAATACACATTTTGTTCATGAATAATATTGATGATTCTTAGAATATTATTTTTAAATTTAGTCACACTAACGTGGAATTTGGTCTTTTTTTAATTGCTTCCTAAATAAATTATCAATTGACCTGCAATTGTCTATGTTATTTGGAAATATATTTAAGAATGATGTTTTAAGTATTTTAAACATATATATTTCAATACATTTTCATTTATTGTCATACATATTTCACATATCGCAAACACAATTTTTGGAGCCAAACACAATTTTTGGCACCACTTATCCAAAAAATATATATATTTAATTTATTTTTTTATTATCAAACAAACTGGTACAGTTCAAAAAAAAAAGCCAGGGTTTCAAAGAAGAGAGGGAGACGTAGGTGAAGGGGAAAGGTTTCTTCAAACACTTGTTCAATCAATTGAATCGGTGGAGACGTAGGTGAAGGGGAAAGGTCCATTGATGTAGTCCGTTTCCTTCCTCAGCAAAGCAATCACGCTTTCCATTGAGTCAATTTGTAATCTACTTCGACTTGGACTTGGCTTCAATTTGTAATCTGCTTCGACTACTTTGACTGCTACGCAATTTCTTATATTTGCGTAGGCCCTTTCGAGGTTCTTCAAAGCCACACGCTAGTAAGGCACTCCCTCTTCTCTTCCTTCTTCGTAAAACCCTTGTTTCGTCTCTCTCTCTCTCTCTCTCTCTCTCTCTCTCTCTCGGTATATATATATATATATATATATTTATATCCCCCTCCTCCCTTCTCTTCTCTGTTTTTCTGTTTGTGTTTATGCACTGTGGAATCTGTCCCTTTATGTGCTTGAACTGATGGATGGATGAAATGCATCTGCTGTTTGTTTTTATATTGGGCATTTGTTGTAAGAACTAGATTAATGTTGTAAGAGCTTTGAGCATTTGAGTTGTAGTCTTTTACATTTGTTAATCATCTCTATGTGAATATTGTAGGTTTGAATGAATATTTTATGCCTATGTGAGCAGTGTACTTTGCATGATTTATCAACTTGTTTTGTTAAAGTCAAAAAAAACTGGAAACACAATCGGAAGTTGTTGTTTGTCAACTGCCAAATTATCTGTACTGTTCCATTGAATTTGATTTCAAATTTGACTAAAAAGCTTGATTTGATAGGAACTATTCTAATTTTTTAAAAATTATTCTCTTATTCTGAACTTGCCTTTTCATCAAATTTAATTTTAAAAAAAAATTTTAAATTAAAATGATGAAGAATTTCGATCTTTTAAAATGATGAAGATTGTGTTTGTGATCTTCTAATTGGCACAGACAAGGAAGATGTTCCTCAAGATTTTCTTGCTACTTGACAACATAATAGAAAACATGATAGAAAACATTTCTCTTGCTTGATTAGAAATTAAAATCATATAAATCCCACAAAATCAAAGGGAGTTGCACTGCATATAGGAAAAAAAAAAAAAAAAAAGAAGAAGATTGACACACAACTTACAAGGGAAAAAAAGAAAAAGGTTACAAAAGGCAATCTCTTTACACACTTCTATATGTGATGGGCTCTGTCTCTTGACTCTCACCAAACAAGGGTTTGTGGAATGACTGCATGGGTTACCCATTTAACCTGATCACAGAGTGGGGTGCTGTAATCAAGGACAAGACAAGTGGGCTTAAAGACAGGTTTAGGATGAGTAGGTGCAACTTTGCCAGCCCGATACCAGTCTGAAATTTTGTAAGGCTGGACAACATAATTTTAAATTCGGTTTGGGTTTGGATAGAAATTCAAAAGTCCAAATTAGATTTGGATTGGGCTTGGGCAAAGATAGTTAGCAATTCGAATTGTATATATAAATATTAAATATATTTTTAAATTATTTGTCCTGGACCTTGTTCATGTTCTTTATATTGATGCTATTCTTTCACTAAGTTAATATGTAGAGTAGGATTACAAGGAACAACTAAAGTAATTGATTTGGCTTGGTTCAGGCTGGCTCTTGAGATCATTTCAGTAGGTAGAACTTGTTTAATTTTTAGGGAATAATTTTTTTTTACATGTGATTCAATTCTTTGCATTTTCTTGATAATTCTTTGTGAATTTATTAATGCGAGACTTGTGTCTAAGGATGAGGAAAGGAGATCCTAGAATTGAGATTTTGCTCATCCCTCCTTTTTTAGATTCTATATTTTGAGATTCTTAGAGCTTCTCTAATGGTGAGGTTTAAAGTTCAAAATTTTATTCTCTAATGACTATCTAAAAGGCTTGCTATATTTTCAGTAGTGTTATTATGCCTTGTGTTAAATTTAGTGCAAGATTTAGTTATAGTTAAATCCATCAGCTTAATAAAGTCGTCTAGAAATACTAGCCATCTCCTCAACTTTCAACAAAAAATTTAGAAATTAGAAAACATTTGAAAGTGATTTGAAAATCAACAAGCAACACAACTAACTTCAGAAATCAATAAAATAAAAATAAAAAAATAATAAAAGAAATAACAAGTCAACAAATTTCATAATAAATTGTCAAAAAATTTCATAGCATTTTTTAGTGCATGCCAAACAATCACTTAGCTCATATTATAATGTTGCTCTTTCTCTTTCTTTATTATGATTATTTTATTTTCTATATGTAGTTTTAAATTAAGTTAATAAAGTTTTGATTATGTATGTACTATGTTGTTTCGAAAAAGTAGTTGATATAGAAGAAAATAAATGAAGGCAAAGTTTGTTGTGCCAAAAAATTACAAAATTAATATTAGAGCAACATTAAAATTTAGTGTTGTCTCTATTTATTGTGAAAAATTAGTAATAACTAACTAATTAGGCATGAGAAAAGAAGATTTGGTCTATCAAATTAGGCACGAGAAAAGAAGATGTTACCTGATCTAGCAGAGTTTTACAAGGAAACTCACTATAATGAGAAAACACATGAGTAGATCTCGTCTAAAGCGCAGTGTAATTATGTAAGTATATATTGCAATTTTTATTAACAAAATTTTAGAATACTATTTGTTATAATCTTATTTAATTTTCTAATAATTATTTAACTTTTTAATATTTGATATGAAAATATGATACAGACACAGGCTGATCATCTTTCACAACCGGGATCAACCCCTTTGACTGCAGAAGAGCTGTCAATCAAAGTCCTAAAGCCAAGGTCTGGCTATGTGAAGGGACTTGGCATGAGATCTTCATCCTCTATTAGGAGGACCACTACCATATATGCTAAAACAAATGATTATGTGAAGCGCCTTGAGATGCAAATAGAGACACAAAAAGAACAAATACAAATGCAAAACAATAAAATAGAAGATCTTAAAGAAGGTAGGAAGAAGCAAGGGGAGATAATGGCTGATATTGTTAACTTTTTGAGGACCAAAGGATTCACTGGACACTTTGGAAGTGGAGGGGACTCATCCACAAATGGACATACTTCTTGGTAAAGCGTATTAACTTTAATATAACAAATTTTATAAAAGAATATATGTTTGAAGAATTAGAAAGTAATGGAAACATGCATAGGACATCTAATTTGTACAGGTGCACGTGATGTATAAATTGTGAATTAGTCTTAAAAATATTTCTTTTTCTCTATACTTAAAGCTTCAAAAAAGGCCGTCGAAAGGCTAAATTATCACACAGGCACAGATTTGTACAAGAACCAACAAAAACACCTTAGGAGGAACCAATATAAGTTGTATGAACTTACGGCACATTAATGGGATGCATCATTTGTGAATTAGCCTTAAAATTAATTTTTTGTTCTCATAATCTCGAAAAAAAGTTTGTTAGAGGGATAAATTGTATAATTGATCTAATTGTAAATTGATGAGCTACTAATGTTTTTAATCTTTTGTATAATTAATTAATTACTAAAGCTTTTAATTTATTTTTTTGCAGATTGGATTGGGGTGGCATTTTTGACCTGCAACAATGATGTAATGTGCTTGAATTTTTATTTTGTTTGATAAGGATACACATATTTTGTGGAGTTGCACTAGTTATTGTTGGATGTTTGGTGGAATTGTACAAGTTATAACTTTTGGATATTTTGTGGATATTGCACAATTTTATTGTATTAGGATGAAATTATTTGTAATGATGAATGGATATTTTCATTTTGTTAATTCGTAAATGTGTTGATGACAGGTTAGGTTAAATTGTGATGGAATTGTTATATTCAACAGGTTTCAACATGAACATGATTATATTTGTTGAACTAAAATTCAGATTTTGATAAAATAGGTATATAATGTGGAAAAAAATATTATGGAATTAGTGACAAAATTTTCCATCCCTAAAGAAGGTTTTTTCGTCTCTTATTTGGCTTAGGTGGAAAATTAATTTTGTCATGAATTCTTTATTTCGTCGTTAAATGAATTTGTCATAACGAAAAATATTGTCACATTTTGTCACTGTTACTCTCAATGCGTGACGAATTTTTTTTGACATTATTTCATCATTTTTAATGATGAATTTGTTTGTCTCTATTAGTAGCTTCTTTGACAAAAAATTTTGTCTTCGTTTATATTAAACGTGACAAAATTATTTCGTCTCTATTTCCTATATTTATGACAAAATGCTTTCGTCTCTAATTTCTTTCTTTAATGACAAAATATTTTGTCGCTAATTACTTACAAGTATGTTCCCAACAGAGTGTATTGGAGACAAAAAAATTCGTCACAAATTTATCATTTTCAATGACGAATTTTTTTTTCATCTCTAAGACCTTTTAGCGACGACACTTTGGCAACCAAACGGGTGACGAAAAATTTTCGTCGTAATTAGTTTGAGTGACGAAATATATATATTTTGGAACAAATTTGTTTCGTCTTTAAATCTCAAATTTGTTGTAGCCCAAGGCCAAAGCTACTGAGGTTGAGGCTGAGGATGCTCTGCCCATCTCACAATTGGCTGAGAGTAAAAAAGCTGCTTCTGCTTCTGCAAAAAGGTCTGCTGAGGCCCAGCCATCAGAGTCCACCCAATCAAAGAAGCCGAGGTCATCGTTTGCGACGACCTCGGGTTCCAGAATACCAAAAGTCCTCTGGACACCTGAGATCACTCTAGAAGATAAGCCTGTCCTTGCCAGCGACAACGCCGATGATATAAACGTCGGCGTGGCACTCAGTACTGCTCTACTCCTCCCAGGCGATCTTGAGCGGAATGCCAAGATGAGTAAGTATGAGAATTACGCCTTTATGCTGCAACGCTCTGTCCAAGTAAGTGCCTTTGTGCTGAAATTTTGTTTTCTCTCTTACTTTGTAAAATCTTGTAACAATTTGTGCCTTGTGTTCTTTCAGGCCATCCAACATGCCCACTCTCTCTTCATGCAAGCTTTTGAAAATCAGCAAAGATTGGCCGACATGATGAGGGAGGTTTCTGCCCTGAAAAAGGAGAACAAAACTCTCGAATCAAAATGAAAAAACTGGAGGACCAAGCTGAGGCCGCCACCAAAGCCCAATGTCTAGCCGAGAAAAAAGCCGAATCTGCCGAGGCTATTAAGAGGGTCGCCGAGGCCGAGAAGAGAGAGGCTGAGGACAAAAAGGCCCAAGCGGAAAAGGAACTTCAAGTTGCTTTATCTACTAAAGACGCCGAAATTAAGGCGGCCGACGAAAAGGCCTATGCTCAAGGAATGGCCGACGTTACAAAGGAATACAAACTACAAGTCAGGCAGGCGTGCAACAGGGGCTTCTCCCTTGGTTGGATGGCCCTCGCAAAAAAACTTAATCTTCCTGAGAATTCACCATTGCGCCAAGCCGATGCTATTCCTCTTCCATTTCCTCCACCTCCATCAGGATGATCAAGTCCTAGACTTGACTCAGGAGGAGGATGAGGAGGTTATCAAGGAGACCACTCCTGAGCAAGCATCATCTGATGTTCCTCCAGTCGACAGAAGTCTTGATCAAACACTTGCTGAAATTGATGTTGAGTTAGCGGCGGAAAAGATTGCCGAGGTGGTTCCACCAGAATCCTCCGAGGTTCTAGCCCATCCAACTGTTGATGCTGAAGGAGCCTGACTCCAATGTCTTTCTTTGTTTGAACATTTTTATTTTTCTGTGTTCTAAACAATGTAAGCTTTCTTTTGTGGCCGATGCGCCTATCTTTGTTATTTCGAAACAATTTACTTCTGTAGTGCCTTTTTTTGTACACAACTGCAACTGTTTTTCTATGGATGCTTTAATCTTTTAATTTCTCTTGATTTGCAAATGCATGGTTCTATACTTAGAATATTTTGTATGCCTTTCATATTTTGCCACCCTTGTGCAATCTTCTCGGGGTTACATATCTCGGGTATAATAACTACAAGCTTTACTTCGGCAAGATACTGACCTGCAAACTTTTCATAAATTTCAACAAGTGTAAGACATATACTATTCAATGTCAACTTTGCGAACGTTTCTCAATGTTTCGATCAAGTGTTTTAGACAGTGATCTTAGTCTAACCTACTTGTAAATTGCTACCAATTTCAACAAGTGTTATTATATACTGTAAACTTTTCTCAAGCTATAATAAGTGTTTAAGCAATGATCTACTTGTAAATTGCTACAAATTTCAACAAGTGTTTAAACAATATACTTAGTTTTTACCTCAACCTGCAAATTGCTGCAAATTTCAACAGATGATCACATGTCGGCTTAACATTATCTTGTAAATTGTTACAAATTTCAACAAGTGTTAAGCATCTTCTTTAACCTGTAGATTGCTATAAGTGTGCAAATTATAACCTCGGCTTCACTTCGACTTGTAAATTGCTACAAATTTCAACAAGTGAAGATAAGGAATAATCTCGGCTTAACTTCAACTTGTAAATTGCTACAAATTTCAACAAGTGAAGATAAGGAATTATCTCAGCTTAACTTCGGTTTGTAAATTGCTACAAATTTCAACAAGTGAAGATAAGGAATCAGCTTAACTCCAACTTGTAAATTGCTACAAATTTCAACAAGTGAATTAAGGGATAATCTCAGCTTAACTTCGACTTGTAAATTGGTACAAATTTCAATAAGTGAAGATAAGGAATCAGCTTAACTCCAACTTGTAAATTGCTACAAATTTTAACAAGTGAATTAAGGAATAATCTCGACTTATCTTCGACTTGTAAATTGCTACAAATTTCAACAAGTGAAGATAAGGAATCAGCTTAACTCCAACTTGTAAATTGCTACAAATTTCAACAAGTGAATTAAGGAATAATCTCGGCTTATCTTCGACTTGTAAATTGCTACAAACTCTAACTTGTAAATTGTTACAAATTTCAACAAGTGAAGATAAGGAATCAGCTTAACTCCAACTTGTAAATTGCTACAAATTTCAACAAGTGAATTAAGGAATGATCTCGGCTTATCTTCGACTTGTAAATTGCTACAAATTTCAACAAGTGAAGATAAGGAATCAGCTTAACTCCAACTTGTAAATTGTTACAAATTTCAACAAGTGAATTAAGTGTATCTGTCTTCTCTCTGCCCCCAATGTGAACCTGAGTTCTACTTGGGTTCTCATTATTCATGTCTCCAAAAACACCAATATGTAACTTTATCAATCATATGTGTTTTAAAGAAAAGGGAAAAGATTTTATTGATGACTTCGGCCAAAAATACTGCACATCTAATGATAGAAGAATTTCAAATTACAAGTGTTCCAAGGTCTTGGTAGTGCTTTGCCCTCGTTATCTTCAAACCAATAAGCTCCATTGCCTAATACCGAAGTAATTCTGTAGGGTCCTTCCTAGTTTGGGCCAAGCTTGCCCTCTCTGGGATCTTTCTTATTGTCGATGACTTTTCTCAGGACTAGGTCGCCGACTTGAAAATCACTTGGATTGACCTTCTTGTTGTAAGCTCTAGCAAGCTGTGGCTGGTATACTGCGAGCTGAATTGCAGCTTTCTCTCTTCGTTCTTCCAAAAGATCCAGATCTCGGGCTAAGAGTATGTCATTGGTGCCATTCTCTACTCCCTGGGTTCTGATCCCTGGGATGCCGATCTCCAATGGGATGACTGCTTCTGTGCCATAAGCCATGGCAAAAGGGGATTCCCCTGTTCATCTTCTCGGCGTAGTCCGATATGCCCAAAGTACGTTGGGCAACTCGTCTATCCACTTTCCTTTTGCTGCCTACAGCCTCTTCTTTATTCCATCCAAAATTACTTTGTTGGATGTTTCTGTTTGCCCATTACTTTGGGGAAAACTTGGTGTTGAAAAGTAATTCTTGATCTTGAATTTCGCACAGAAGTTTTTGATGAGTTTGCTGTCAAACTGCGTTCCGTTGTCGGCAACTATTGCTCTTGGAATCCCAAATCTGGTGATGATATTTCTCCATATAAAGTTCTTGATGTCTACATCTCGGATTTTGACGAGAGGTTCTGCCTCTATCCACTTCGTAAAGTAATTTTTTGCTACCAGCAAGTATTTTCTCTGTCCAGTTGCCTGGGAAAGTTGCCCAACAAGATCCATGCCCCGTTGGGCAAACGGCCAAGGGCTGGATACTGGGTTTAGGTCAGCAGCTGGCTAATGTATCAAAGGTGCAAACTTTTGGCATTGTTCACACTTCTTCACGTAGGCTTCAGCATCCTTTTGCATGTAGGGCCACCAATACCCCTGGGTAATGGCTCTGTAGGCTAAAGATCTGCCCCCAGCATGGCTTCCACAAATTCCTTTATGAATTTCATATAGGAAATCTTCAACCTGCAAAGGGTGTACGCACCTTAAAAGTGGTCCAATGAAGGACCTTCTGTAGAGGTGCCCATCTTCTGTCAGACAGAATCTTGCCGATTTTAGTCTGACTTTGTGTGCCTCCTTACGATCTTCTGGCAGCTTTCCTTCTTTCAGGAATGCAACAATTGCATCCATCCAGCTTGGCCCCATGTCCACACACATTGCTTCTTGCTCTGTGCTCTGTGGTTCTATGCTCGGGCCCGACATATAGTCGATTATAATTGTCCTTGTTTTTCCAGTCTGCATTGAACTTGCCAGGTTAGCCAACGCGTCGGCGTGGGTGTTGTCATCTCAGCTAACTTGGAGTAGTCGGCAGTTCTGAAATAGGGCTGCCAATCTGATGACCTCTTTTGCATATGCCGACATCCTTTCGTCCCTGGCTGTAAATTCTCCTGTTGACTGGTTAACAATAAGTTGTGAATCACAAAAAACTATTACCTCATCTGCTTCTGCTGCTGCTGCCAGTTTTAGCCCTAC